CATTACAATTAAATAGTGAACATTGCTTTCTGACTTCATTCTTTAACAACCCAACTAACAATATTTTTTTCTGTTTCAGATTCTGATGCATTTATAAGTTGATAATATTTCCGATGGCTGCTTGTGTCAGGACGAGGAACCAAAAATCCAGCCATCTCAGTCACTATCTTGGGTCTGGGAGAGCTCCTGAAGTCGGAGTTGCCTACATTGAGAGATGCTTTGAGATACGGTGTTTTAATCAGGCAAATCAGTGAAAGAACCAAAGAACTTACACAAACAAAGACATTGCCAGTGATATGACCAAAGCTGTCTTGGCACAGTACACTCTGGCTAACGCTCAGTTCAAACCTCCAGTCATAACAAGTCAGAAGAAGATTAGTGAGACTGCTAGCCAGTTGGGAAAAGGCAAGAGATATCTCTCTTGGGAGAGGAAAACTTGCAGTTAAGGACAGCTTTGCCAAGCAACTGGACCAGTTATTTGACATAATTACTTGCAGTGCCCAATTGTTCTCTGTCCTGAAGGTTTGGATGCGATCGTGACTGTAAATCCGAGGCCCACATCTCCTGTATTTGCAAGCGTGAACTGAAGATTCCTGTGATCGAACTGGCATTTGTCAAAGCACAGAGAGAGAAGACTGGCAGTATAGGGAGACTCTCATGATTTCTAGCCGCAAGATATTCCGGAGTCAAAGACGGAGGCTGCCACAGAGAGACAGAAAGAGGAGAAGAGTTGCCGAGGAAAAAGAGACTTGCGAGAAGGCCCAGGGTGAGAATAAAAGGCCGATGATTGGAGTCAAGCTGATTCAGGATTTAATGACTTCCCCATGGCTGATCCGAGTACTTTGACCAGGAGAATGGTGACTTTGTCCTAACCCAGAAAATAATGATCCGACCTTCAGGCATAAGATTCGAAATAGGAAAAGATATCGAGCATAGCTCTGGCCAGCATGCGACACCACACTGGTCTCAGAGGAAACTGCAGAATAGCAACAGCTGCCTGTAGTTGACGGTGGTTAGATAACACCTGATGATGTTCACCTGGTGATAGATCATAACAAAGTAAGGAGAGCTCAGGAGAAACTTGTCAGTAACCTAGAAGAGGAGTTTGATAAGGGGATAAGAAAATGGAGATCAATTGTTTTGTTCTTTGATGGGAGAAGGATGACACTAAAGAAGTGTTCATGAAAGTTGGAATTCCTGACAAGTTGTTCCCTGCCATGGTGAAGGAGGAACACTACTCCTGCTGCAGTGAACCAGGAGGGAAATGTTGTGGCATTTCACTCCAGAGAAAGATGACATCAGGAAACCAGCTGAGATAGTGGCAGATAACATTGTGAACTGGCTCAGAGAACGTAGACCAGACCCTGCAGGCCATTGGGGGGACAGCACCAGCACGAACACAGGGTGGCAGGGAGATCATACAGTGGATAGAGCGGAAGGTGGGAGGAAGCTGGTCTGGATTGTTTGTGAGCCTCCACACCAACGAGTTGCCACTCAGACATCTGATCCAGGAGCTGGATGGCAAGACTCTTTCAAACAACAGATGGTCTGGTCCTCTTGGCAAGATGCTGGACTCTGCCACTGAGTAGAAATAAATCCGAGCTTTGAAAAAATCACAGTTGGCCTCCACTCGTTGAGCTTGCACATACTGTCATTGACGACCTGATCTTGAAAGCCAGTACTATGGTTACATGATTTGCAGTGCCATCAAAACTGGGGTCATGCCTGATGAACTTGCTTACCTGCAGATAGGTCCAGTCTCACATTCTAGGTGGCTCACAACGGCTCTCAGGTTCTGCAGAATTTGGGTCGCTCATCACCAAACTGAAGGAACCAGCTTCACAACCTGAGACTTATTCAATTCATCATGAGTCATCCTACTTGCCAAATTGGTTTTTCAACACAAAGGTCAAGTCATCGTTCTCCGAAGGTCGGGCATGTTCTCTTCCAGCAGGCTCTGAGAGTCAGCCAAGGAAGGTTGTTCAGATTGTGGAGCAGACTGAGGAGATGTTCTGGTATGCTCATCCCGAGGAGCAGTTCTGCAGACAATGCTCTGCAATGAGATGAGAGGAGAGAAGTGGCAGTCAAAGATCTTGGATGTAGGACTTATGAGAGGATCTGGGCACTTGACAGATCAGTTGGTGACGATTCCTTCAGGGTCAGGAAGACTCCTGGAAATGAAATCCGTGCCAAGACCCTCACCTGATCTCATAGATCTGGATAACATCAGGCTGACAGTGAGCCCCTCTTACCTGCAGCCTCACCCAATGTTCAAGTCAAAGCACCTGGCCCTCGCACACCCAGAGTATAGGCGTTGTGTACAGCAAGTGGCGGAGGCCAGCAGTCGCGTGTACAGCCGTAACAGAGGAGGAGGTATCCGGGAGGCTCCAGGTGGTCGCTTTGGGGGGAGGTGATGAGTAGAAACAAAGCAAGAACATGTTCTCTATGGTGTGCAGCAACACCGGGTCGTAGTAAGTAAAACCGGTTTTTTGTATTTGATGATTTTGTTTCGAAAAGATATTAAATTTAATAAATGTGTCAAAGATCATTCGTTTCACTATTCTGGATCATTTTTCATCTAATAAATTAACCTGTGACATTTTACTGAATTTTCATAAGATTTCAAGTTAAAATTTACCGAGCAAAAAATGAAAACTTTTCAAATCTGAAGATATCACATGATTCTGCACATAGAACTACATCATTAATACCATGGGCCGATTTTTCAAACTCAAAAAAAAAAAATTCGCCTCCGTATGACACACCCTAGTGTATTAAGTTCACACCAATGCATACAAGATATTTCCTTTCAAGTAAAGTTTCTGGGTCACTGCCAACACCTAACATAGTTCTGATACATTTATCCTTTTTCCAGATCATTGTTCTCATGTATTTTCATATGATATCTGCGGAAGTTATGTTCGCTAAACGTTCACAGACGTAAATAGTATGACCTTCAAACCACGATCTACACTTAGTCCTAAACTACACTAGTCCGGATCAACTAGACTTTCCCATTCATCTTATAGCTACCTTGAGTTCTCCTTAATGCTGTGAATACATACAATTAATATTATATAACCGTACCTGGGTACAATTCAACAAATGATTCAGTAACATTGAGTAGGTTAGTTATCCTTTATCAATGTTTCCCGTTTTCTGAGATTCTACAAGCGCGGTGGATTTGAATGTTATGTAGCGTAATATGGATTAGAATTGGAACAGTTTGTAACAGTTTATTTAGCCAGAAAAATACAGATACAAAGTGGATAATAATAACAATATTAACATCGCTGAGCCAGTTGAGAACCTGAGGGTTTTTTTAGGAATGACTGTGATGTGTGCAGTATACCATGACCCTTCAGGCTTTTACGCCCTTAATGCATGAGTCATAAAGGCAAGCATGAATTACACATGCTTCCCACATGGGCGCTGTAAACGCTTCTGTGCTTCACCTTGCACAGCAAGTTATTTCGGGAAATTAAGATCCAAGCGGACTGTGAAGAGCTGCAGAAGGACCTCTGTGGGCTCCAGGAATGGTCGAAGAAATGGCTGCTGAGATTCAATGTCACGAAGTGTAAGAGGATGCACCTGGGGCGTACCAACGGTAAGGAGGCGTATCATATGTCCCAACGGGATGAAGAAAATGCACTAGTTGAGACTGTGTGTGAGAAGGACCTAGGTGTGTATGTTGACAATGAGCTGAAGTTCTCGGGCCATTGTGAGAAGGTAAATCAGGCAAATAAATTATTGGGTCTTATAAGAAGGTCGTTCAGATATCTAGACGGTCCGTCCCTCGTGACGATCTTCAGGAGTGAAGTGCTTCCCCATCTGGAGTACTGTCACCCCATCTGGTCCCCGAGATATGCTAGGGACTGTCAGTTGGTTGAAAATGTTCAAAGGAGGGCCACCAGACTGGTGCCTGCACTTCGGCACCTCAGCTACCCTGAGAGATTGGAGCGCCTGAACTTGCCTAGCTTATACTACAGACGGGCAAGGGGGGACCTAGTTGAGGTTTATAAGCATCTCAGGGGGCACTACTCAGTTGAGTGTCCTTACTTGGAGCTGGCGGACGCTCGCCCCACAAGGGGTCACAGCTCAAGATTGAAGAAGCCGCAAGTCCAGAAAACCGTGAGGGCAAACTTTTTCGGAGTGAGGGTTGTAAACTCTTGGAACAATCTACCAGAGAGTGTTGTGACGGCACCGAGTGTGAGCTCTTTCAAGGGAAGACTTGACCAACACTGGAGCGGGTTCAGGTACATTCAGGAGCCGGTGCATGCCCAGTATTTGCCAACAGTGCGTGACAGAGACGTGACCGATCGCCCGGGCGGCAAGCGAGCCGATCTTTCGGTGAAGAATATAAATGAAAAGACACGTGACCGATCGCCCAAGCGGCTAACAAGCCGATCAGTGGCGAAGAGGATAAAAGTAAAAGACAGGATGTAAAGTGGTGCCCAATAAACTAGCCCCCTCGGGGGCAATCTAAAAATAAATATAATACACTAGTCCGTATCAACTGGACCTTCTCAATCATTTGATAGATACCTTGAGTTCTCCTTTATACAATCTTTACATACACCTAATATTAAATGGCTGTACAGTGGTAAAATTCGTATAAAACAGCATACAGCATGCGAGTTACCCTTACAAAAGTTTACCGTTTTCTATGACTCCACAAGCGCAATGAAATTGAATGTTATGCAGCTTTAGTATGAATTGGAGAGAGAGGTTTTGGGTGTTGTGTTCACGCTTACTGGTACAGCGGGGTACGGATGTATAGACCGAATCCAAGACTCAGATTCAAAGCTTGAGCTCGGCTGCGGACTGTCATCTTCTATAAGTGTATTTATGTGCTCAGATAATAAGATATTGAAACACATACTCTAAGTAAATCCATTCACGTACAACAACTGTGAAGCGAGTCACAAAAATCTTTCATTAAGTTTATTCCTCATATAGGGACGCATCTCGCTCCTCTGTTGGGGGTCGGCCAGGTCCACCAATCACACGTGTTTACCATCCTCCAGTATACACAACGTTTACCTACTGGCCTTCTCGTGCCGCTAGTGCTCAATATTATTTTGTAATTTTTGAGAGGGTTTGCCTCGATATATTATCACCAAGATGTCATACGCACAGAAGTCCAAGGTGCAGAAGGTTATGGTACTGCCAATTGTATCCTTTTATTGAGATGTGGTGAATTATGGTCAAGTTGTAGTGTGTTGGCGCCAAGGCTCGAGGTTTGCTTGTTATGTGTGGGGCTTTAAACGACTATACGGTGATAGTACTTATTTATAACCTTTAGTATTTGTCAGAGTGTAATTTGATGAAGTTATGTGTTCACGAAACTTAATTTCTATACTTTGTGTTTTACATTAAGGAAGAAGCACATCCTCCCCTCATTACAGGGCCCAGTAAACTATCGTAGTGGTAAGGGGAATGTTTATAGGATCTTTTGCTCGTAATGTCATGTGCCTGGAACTTGGAGGTTGGCAGTGCATATGGAACTTAGCACCAGAAGGACTATGGAATTGCACCAAATTTTCAGATGTTTGGATGATAGAGTGAGAAAATCAGGTAAATTTTTACTTTCGGACGTGAGTCTCTATGGGTTGACCAATATGTTTTTACGGTGTGTTTTAAACGTATCTGACCATCATTTTTGCCCGCCCCCCCATTTTGGGTGGGGGATAAACCACGAAAACGAGTCGTCTAACCTAGCCAAGGGGCTCTACCCCCGAACCCCACCCCAGGACCCCCGGTAGGTTTAGCTTAAAGCAACCTAACCTATTCATTTCCGACTGATATTAATGGGGTTCAGAAGACTCAAAATAATAAGATGTAAATGTTTCAGTAGTTTAAAGCTTTGGGGTGTGCCATGTCCAAAACTACGCTGTGATTATGTAGGAATTGGATAGCTTGATCGTCTTTTTCGTAAAACTCGGCAATAGGCTTAAAATAATCATAGCACGATTCACACCCAACTTCTACCATTGCCATTGTCATACTGGTCATTGAAATTGAAAATTTGAAATCCTTCAAATCCATACCTTGGCTTATGTCCGAAAGTAAAAATTTACCAAATTGGGTAAAGGTGGAGCAGATGGACACCAGTTGTTGTTTGGGTAAAATTTCACTGTAAAAATTCATCCATTGGATGTCCTCAGGTTCTGGTACGAGAATAGGTTTATTTTGTGTTTTTTTTGGTGTATTTTACTCAAATGTGGACTTCATTTCTTCTGCAAATTAGCATTTTTTTGCCAAAAAAAAATACATTTTAATTTTTTACAAACTGCTAATTTGCACAAGAATGGAGGTCAAATTTGAGTTAGACACACAAAAAAATATTTTCATACCAAAGGAACCAGCCTACCTAACCTAACCTACAAGGAGGGGAGAAAGGAGGAGACAAGTGCCTCAAAGTGAGGAGTATAGCTTCGAGTAAACATGGCGGGAACCTGCGGACAGCCAATGGACGAATATTAACCAATTTCACTTGTTGCCACTAAAAAATCAAAGTTAAAACTGTCTTTCCAATGGTTGTTAATGTGTTATGAACTAATTTGACCTTCATATCTGGCACATATCAATAGTTTCTGAGATAAGCTCCCACCCTCCCATCTCAGAATCTAGAGATCTACTATAAAAATAAAGGTAAAAAGTGTTCAAAACACATCGAAAACCATCGGAAAAGCAGTTTTGAATCTAACTTGGGAGCTCCACAGTCATTTGGTGTTCTGAGTGTATACCGCCACGTACAAACGTACATAACAAAATGTTAAATGTCTCGCTTAAACATAATTTATGCCTGAAATGCCATTGAAGAAAAGTAGGTATTTTTATAATAGTTCACACACACCATTCCTACCTCAAATCTTTTATCACATTCGAGAAAGACATCTAATTTTAAGATAATTTTCTTCTATTACATTACCGTCGGAACGTATGATAATGGAGATACTGTAGTGCATGCCAAATCTTTCTCTATTTAATTCCATTAATCTTCAGCCATTATCGCCTACCCGACCTCCCACTCATTGTCTTCCCTTCATAAATTGTCATGCGTTCCTGTACACGTCACGCGGCTAATCAAAAGCGTTCTTTTTTATTGGCCACCAATTAAAATGAATTGTGGTTCTGCTTTTAGAATTCACGGTAGTTTTTGCCCAATCATATTCGATGGTGATTTTGGGTATCTCATGCTTCAAAATTCAAATTCATTTCTGACCATGGAAGTCTGCGACGGGTGTCACTTCAATTATATGGAGTTAATTGCGCATTTTTGGGAAAAAAAACAAGCAATAGCATTTTATTAGATCTCATGGTGTTCTCCTAACCTCAGTGAAGATTCTAATTCGGAATAAGGTAAAAAACAACAATGATTCCCTCATATGGTGAGTGTGTGGTTATGTAAAAAACACCATGAGGGTTAGGTCGTCAGGATAGGATAGGTTAGGTCATCCAAAAATTTTTTATGTTTATATGTATTTCTAGTGTTTTTTGGTGTATTTTGTATTCACTTGTCCATGATGTTTGTCGGAAAACGCCCCACTTAAAACCCCGGTTCCCAACAGGATCCCCTATTTTTTGGAGGGTAGAAGGGGGCGATAACAAAAACACAGGCAATTTCCGACAGAAATCAAGGTCAGAACCAATCAAAACACACACAAAAAAAAATACATTAGAAAAATATAGTTTTGACTTACTAACAGTTGTGTGAGCTGCTATAAATTTACCGAAAATAGGTGCTACTAAAGTATGAGGTCTACCGAGTTGGAGTTGGTCTACTGGGGTATTCACATTGTCCCGTCAACCACACTAATATCGGCATGTTCTCAAGAGGTATCACTTCAAAAAATCCTAGCATCTCACAGAGGCTAAATTAACCAAAAGTAAACATTCCCAGCAAAACTGCAGTGCTTAATCTGTATATGGGTAACTCCTTGTGCCGGCGAAAATAAATCCCTATGTAATAATTTTGCTTATCTCTTGCATCACCTGTGAAGTTGAAAATCTTGCTGTTGGCTGCAATTTCGTCATTTAAAGGATGGGAAAGTGTTGTGTAGGTATAAATTTTGCCGTTGTCTGTTATTTTTGTTGTTGACATTCGATTGGTGTCGCTAAAAGTGACTGCCTGAGGCTCATGTACCACTGGCCTTATGATGCTGAATGTTGATGGGAATGTTTAAGATATCATCGTAGTTTTTAATATAAATGGTTGAAAACAATAAGCAAGTTAATTCTGAGTTTATTACAAAAGTAATACACAAAATATATCTATATTTCTTGAAAAGGCTTTAAATTAACTTGGACTCTTGAATGTTTTGGCCACATAATAACAGCCTTAAAGATGCCAGTAGCAAAAATAATCTTCTGTGCCAAATTTGACATACTTTATGCAACATATGTACATAAACCTTCGTGAAGGGTTTACAGTATTCCAGAAACTAGTACATTATTCATAACAAAAACTTGTTTCACCATGTGAGCATAAGTTTTCCTCACAAGGCAAAGTAAAAGCCACATGTTATGATTTTAACCCTCTCAGCCTCGGAGCTTGAGACACATACGTGCATGAAAACTTACTCTCGGCCTCCGAGGGTATTGCCGAAACATCGATGAATTTTTATGTTTTAAGGGCTCATTTCATTGCCAAGGAATTGTTTTATTAATTGTAATGGGTTCTCTTCTAGCGTAAAATTGTATGAAACCATAAAAAAATTGATTTTTTTTTTATTTAAGCCACTTTTTTTTTAGTATAAGTTGAAAATGTTTAGTAACATCTCGATTATCATTCACACTTTCCTTGTATTATGGTGTTCATTGATATGTACTATATACCAGAATAAAGAACAAAGCTTGTAGAATATTGTGGAGTAAAGAAAAATAATAAAACACCAAAACTCATGGAATAATTAAAGGGCCGAGCAGCGCACCCTCCTCTCTCTCTAATGGCCAGAGTGACACTGGCTTCATGCTGTGCTGCCATGCACACGGTGACCAAGACTGTCTTGGGGAAGGTGATAAGGCCCACACAAAGAAAACGACGTCTATCAAATGGCATCCAAAGTTCAGTCAGTTTCACTGAATAGTTTTTGAGTTATTTGAAAATATAGCCCATTGGATGCCACATTGGCGTCGCGAGGCCGAGCGTAAGTTTTTTCGCCTTTTATGTTCGACGCCGCAATGGCTTCGTGCGAGGCTGAGAGGGTTAAGCAAGTTCCAAACTTCGAAAAACACACATTGCAATGCGGTACATAATTGACATGAATACTAAAACAACACTGGGATCATATTACATTCACATACCGGTATGCAATTATGCATACAAGTACTTTAAAGATGCAACAGTTCTCATATGATAAACAAACATAAAGACCAACTGCAGATGCTTAATTCAGACTGCCAAAATGTATCATACATGTGAAGACACATGTTAAACATGAATGACAGTGAGTTTATACCTCAGAAATACCCGTATCTTTTAGTAGACAGAGAAAATTCATGGTAATACACAGATGTCATAATAATAATCATCTTTATAGTCAAACCCTGTGGGGAGGCAAGGACACGTCCAGTGAGGATAACCTGTTGTCTCACATCCAACCGGTGGTATGTTAGATTATAAATAAAGAGGAGATATGATTTTGTGTTATGTGGATAAAAAATCAGTTTTCTGTCAGTAATAAACAAGTTTTAATACATGTGGCAAAATTAATTTCACCGTGAGCATCAATTTTGGAAACAGCAGCAGCCAATCGAATACTATATCATAAAACACAACACACACTGGCATACCTTAATGTCCCCACTTCCAGACAGACACTAGAGAAAATGATAAAATAATCGTATTTGAGAAATTTGCCGTTGCTCGCGATAGCCGTCACAGGCGTTCAGGTGTTAGCCAAAACTTCATGGACAAGCATTTAGCGGTGGCATAATTTTATAAATTTTTTGGTCATGGTTGGTGTGGGGCGCATATAATAAGTATTGCTTAACATAAATCTGACAGAGCAACAATTTCATGTTAATTTTGTGTTAATTGTTTGAATAAGAGAGGAATATGTTAAAACAAAAGTTCACTGCCTCAGAAATATCGGCAAAATTAGTGTGGTTGATGATAACGTGTTAACCCAATCCAACCTAACCTAACCTATCTTAACCTAGGTTAGGAT